GAGGTTTTTTCATCCTTGGTCTTCATTCTTGCATTTTATTGCTGCGATGGTCTTTTTATTTTTTCTTAGTGTTGTTGTTTTGGTTTTTGGATGAGTTATGATATGAATGGGTAATATGATGGTGAATCAATGACATTCCAGATGGAATGGCCAGTTTCTGTTTTCTATTAGTGATGGTATAGTCCGAGTCTTTTGGTTTGTATGTTGTTAGCTGTCAGTTTTACTTTGCATATGTGCGTGTTACATGTAGTGGAAATGTTTGTGATGTGTCTTGTGTTGAATGTTTTCCATTTTCTTTAACTTTTATTTATTTATTTATTTACATACATATTTTGAAAAAGCACATGTTGCATGTACCATTTACAAATGCCAGCTCGCTGCTGCTTATATACCTCACCAGACGCCCCTAGAACATCCTTACACCATCCATGCGCTGGAAGTCAGAACGAGATACGCCTAGGAAGTTCTAGAACGTTCTACTCTGATTGAGGCTTACAATTCGTAAATAGATCATAACAAAAAACGACGTAATACATTCTAGAAAATCCTTACATATGTAATACATCAATATATACAAGAAAATCTCCCTACACTTGCCAAAATAACTGATGCTTGGAAAAGAAAATAATCAGAACACGTAGTTCACAAAAATTATAATACTAAATTATGTCTCGGCATAACACTACTTTTGGTGATGTCTTGTCAAATGACCACAAGAGCCACAGCCGTAATAAAATGATTGGTTCCACTTGGTAACTGTTTTATTAGCCACAAACACACTTATGTTGTATGTTTCATAAAGTACAGTCAATTTACTTTTTATTTGTGTTTATACCATAGAAAAATATTTATGAAAAAAACGAGGATCATGAACAAAAAATGTAAGAATGAATTTAAAAGAATTACGAAGAAAGGCTATACATTTCTTGACACGGAGAGATGCTCCTTTTGATACAAATGCCGATAGCTTGCGCACACACGCCGAGGTGCCACTTCAGGCAAGGTCCAGAGAAGAGGTCAACCAGCGCGCAGGTGGGTGGAGCTTCGCTGATGTCAGCGGGTAGACTCCTGCGCTCCCTCTCCTACCTCATACCCCTTATAAACATAACATTTTAGGGTTCTACATACTATACTTTGTTATCTCAGCATCTCCCTTAGAAAATAATACTCGTGATACAGATATACCTATATATGCAATACCAGAGAAGGAACGTTTAAAAGAAAAACAATGGATTTCAGTTCTAGCTTAGCATTTAAATAAGTGGAGCTTACAGTTGGTAAAATATAACTATATGTACAGTTACCCAGAGGAGATTCTTTCCTTCCTCCCTGTTGTACTCATTATATATAAATATATATATATATATATATATATATATATATATATATATATATATATATATATATATATATATATTAATAATGTAAACGTTAGGTGACAAGTTATGACCTCACATGACAAGGGTTACCTTCACTGAAACTTGTTTCGTCAAAAGATAAAACACATACTGTAGACGTTCAAGGTCATCCATACTCACATTTATGGTACAACAGCGGAAGAACTGTATGCAACACCCCTGGTTGCACGTTGAGTTTAGAAACCCAACGATGCAATGTACTGACAGATGGAAAAGGAAATTTACTTTTATCAGGCAAGGAGCGATAAGTTTTCAGGCTTAAACTGCGAAGGGTCAATGCTCGACTGATATCTTCCTCAGACCAGTATATTACGGAGATACCAGTCAAGAAAAAATTCACTTATAGGAAAAAATATCTACTAAGAATATCTTTAGTAGTAGCAGAAGCCTTAACAAAAGTATTTTTTCTATCTGTTCATACAAATAAATCCTCTCCTTCCATTCGCTTTTTTCAATGATAAGATCATCTCTCCATTCCTACATAATCCAATTGACGTTGTAGATCCCCAGTGATCAGAACTGGTCTCTCTTCCTCAGGTTCTTTCTCTTACACTACATCAGGTACCCATGCAGACTCAATTTCTTGCACAACCCTCTTTTGGCTTCTTCTCTCAATACATGTCTTTGATGATAGCCTCTAATTTGTCTGCAGCTATTAATGTTCCTATGGCAGATAGGACACACAATGGAGAGAGAGATTACTAGATGTACAATTGCCTACAGGATATCCTTTCCTCTCTGTTATGCTCATTATATTAATAATGTAAACATGAGGTGACAGGAATTATGATGACCTTACATGACAAGTGAGCGATATGGGATGGGCGTAAATGGGGTTGCTTAGTTTGGGCCAATAGGCCCACTGACGTTTCCTCCATTCTTTTGTTCTTAGAGAAAGCAGAGAGGGTGGTATAGGGAGTGGGGAGAAGAGGAGAGGGAGTAAGGACAGGGGGAGAAGGAGTGCCCTGAAAACTCACTGCCAGAGGCTGACAGAATTTCCAATTTATTATACAACACTACCAGGGTATAGAGATATATTTTCATTTTACATTATTTACGGAATCTATAGGGCTAAATGTATTGTAAACTTATTAAAAATATATAAAATTCAAATTCAATAGTTATCAAAACATTTTTACAATGAACTGCAGATTCTGTCAGCCTCTGGCACGCTGTTCAATGCCCACCGAAACAGATTTGAGCATTAAGAGGATTAATGTTGTCTTTTCTCTTGAAGAGGTTAATCCACTGTACCTTAGTTCTTCATCTATAGGAAATGTATGTAAGTGTATAATTCCCTCTCGTTTGAACAAATAAATACACCCAAACACTACACAATTAGCGGGCATTATGTGACAGGACACCAGTTTTCACATTGTTCCTACGTCAGCATCTTCAATACAAAGACTTAAGATATAATCAATAATCAACAAACCTTTCAATAAGATCGATCCTCCTTCACTCTATCAACGCATTGTAAGATGAAAGTTTTGATTTTTTTGTGGTGCGAAAGCTGTACTTCTATCCGCCTATCACCATGTCTCCATGTCGGCAGTAGAACATAACTATGCGACACCTCTGGTACAACAGTGACACGAATCCTCATTATTACTGACGGCAATCTCCATTTATATATCGTTTAAACGTTTGTTTATTATTTATGCAAGGATACGAAAATAGTACTCAGACATGCGCGCGCGCGAGTGCTATTTTCGTTTTCTTACAAGATAAAAAGTAAACGTTCTCAGTGTGGTAAAAAGTAAACGTTCTCAGTGTGGTAGTCACATTTACATACAACTCAATAAAGGTCTTCATTTTAACACTTACAAAGGCTATCTTGTTAAATCATTATGGCTTTTTGTGATGTGAGTAAGCGTAATTTTCCATCTGTTGTATAAAATGAAACCTATAAAAATAAGCATAAAAAATACAGGTAAGCCACTATTGTTATTATAGTACTCTTTAGTTAACCCGGAAAAAATTTATGCACTTGCTGGCTGGGCTTCATGCTCGTAGCCAATTAGCCATTTCGCGGGCAATGAGAGACGTGCCGCAGTTCAAAACAATCATGGAGAAGTTTTTATTTTTTTTATGTGAAAAAGTGCTTCGACTTGTGTAAACAAATAAGTCAAAATGTACAGGATTCAGCCAGCACAGTATGACTGACTTGTGAAATTATACAAACACACAGGAAGTATGACCTGCCTCACTGTCCGATACGAAGAATATCTAAATGCCGAGATACTAACCTTATGTCCGGGACAAATGTATTTCACTAAACACATGCAAATGCACAAGATCTAATTTCAAGCTCATGTTCACCATTACTTCCAAACTGAGAAGAGTATGTCGCTAGTTAGCATGTTCATCACTCGGATACTGTATCCGTGTTCCTCGTTATACATCCCGTTTTTTTGTTTTAACACAATAGAGGATCGAGTCCACTCTACAGTACTGTACCGAGAACTGACTTGGATAATGTTATTTTTTATTCTGAACGATACATGGCATATATCTTGATTTTTTTTATAGTGCAATCATGCTCTTTTATGCAGCTACAAGTTCTTACGTATTTGTACATGTTCTTGTATATTTATACACTATACTGACGTGTGTGAATACTGTTAATATAAAAGCAACAGCTGTCGAGTTCTCAGCCAAAAATGGCGGATTCAGCTGAGGATTCAAAAAGTGAAAGTGACCTTTAATTGAACACTGTAATAACATAAAATATTAAAGTATTGTACCAAGGACGCCAGAAATGCACACCGATGCCAGAAGTGCACACGATGCCAGAAGTGCACACGGACATCAAAAGTGCACACGGATGCCAAAAGTGCACATGGACGCCACAAGTGCACACGGACGCCAGCAGTACCTACAGACGCCAGCACACACAGACATTAAAAGTTCTCTCTCTCGCTATATCACGTCGCCTCAACACATGACACAAACCAGCAGGATGTCTCAAGGATAATATTTTACACTGCTTTACATACCCTACTTACTCAGTACTCTGACAAAAAAGTTGTTTTAGTCACTAGAAACTTGTTCTCTAGCATAAAATCTAGCTTCATCACACGTCCTAAAGCAGCCACAATATTTTATATATACAGGTGGTTTTATATTTGGCGGTAGATAGATGTTTTTTTTTCTTCAATATATGGCACAAATCCAAATGTCCACAACTGCACACTAAAGTTCATATCAGCCGCAGTACAGTACAGCCAGCAGTTCTTCAAACACATCTTTTCAAACAGTTTTTTAGCTATCATCAGCTTTACAGTGTAATTTATTTTCTCGGAGCACTATATCTCTTTAGCAGGTGACAAAAAAAAAATGTTTTCAACAATAGACTTCACATGTAAACAACTTAACGAGACCACCGAAACAAAATGGCTCATTAAAAAACAATTTTATATATATATATATATATATATATATATATATATATATATATATATATATATATATATATATATATATATATATATATATACTTTGTAATGCACTGAGAATCCTTCACAACACGGCCGGTGTAAGATTTTGCCTTCATCTATCAATACTCTAGCAGTGCAGTACCTTGGAGTCTGGAGGTGGAGGAGGAGCCAGAGGCGACAACCATAGTGAGAGCGGCCTAGCCACGAGCGCGGGTCATCTTGGCATCAGCTGGGATGCTCAGTTCGCAGTGGTGGCACATCACAACAAAGACACTGACAGTAATTACCCCGACGACACTTTTAGTACACTGTTAAATAATACTTAGGTCCTGTGACGCCCAATTGGTGATAAGTTTACCCGTCTGAGGTGCGTTACCTGTCTCCAGCTCTGCTCAGGGAGGATTCCAGTGTCCATCAGCTGATCAGAGGAGTTGCCATGTTGCACGTCACGTTCAGTGTTACCAGTAGCAGTCTCAAAAGAATCTGCCTCGTTATTTACTATTATTAATGATATTAAAATTATTTTTCATGCAATAAAATCAGTAGGAACCTAAATTTCATTGCAAAGACTTTATAGATGATAACATAAGAAAACGTTATTTTCTTTGTGAACATGGTGAATAAAAATAACCGAAGTATTATTTTCAACTTGGTAGCATTTGCAGGGACCCATTCATAATCACTGTGACGTCACAATGAGCATGCGCAAATACTTAGTGGTTTGACATTCCACGAAAAATTGATATGATCAAGCCAATTGTAATGCATTTATCAGAATTTGCAAATAAAAATAGAAAATATGTTAAGGCCTATTATAAAATGTTTAAGTAAATGAAGAAACGAAAAGAAGCTGTTTTCATACTCGTATCACGCTTAAACAGCGCTCAGGATATATATATATATATATATATATATATATATATATATATATATATATATATATATATATATATATATATATATATATATATATATATATATATATATATATATTCTGCTGTGATTATATCCACACAGCCAGAGATCGGCGCCGTTCTTGGCGCATTTCCCCAAAAGCCCGTGGAAAGTGAAAATGGCGGCAAGGCTCGCCTCCGGATCAATACACGAAAACATCTGAGAGATATTCAGTCCGTAACGTTCCGTCTCGTAAAGTTTGACTCTCTCGCTGATGTAGAGGTTATTTTTAGCAACATGTGAACTTTCTGGGTCGTACCAACTGCTGCCCTCCCAACACGTTACTCCAGCCCGCTGCCCAACACGTCTCTCCCTCTCACATCCACCCTCCGCCACCCATCACCATTCATTACCTTTATTCTTTGTCCCTACCCGCGTCCTCCACCATCTACCTCCAGTCTTTGTCCCTACCCGCGTCCTTCACTATCTACCTCCAGTCTTTGTCGCCAGTTTTACCTGTCATCAACCAATTACCTGTTACCACTCAACTCTGCCTGTTTTCACTTACTCAACTCTACCTATCATCAACAAACTCCACCTGTCACCACTCAACTCTACCAATCAACATTCAACTCTACCAATCAACATTCAACTCTACCGGTCACTACTAACATCCACCTGTCACCAATCAACTCTATCTGTCGTCTTTCACGCAACTCTTACTCAGCATCATCCATTCAACTCTACGGTTCCAGCCACAAATATTTCAGTAACTACTGTTCCCTCTAATTATCCACCGTCATATTTAACTAACCCAAACCTATGATTTTCCCTGGTTCACTTGCCGTACCTCACAACACAGGGCCAGGTACACATACGGACTTACTTTCAAGAGGAGTCTATCCCATAATTTGGAGCCAAGGATGAATAATACTAGTGCTCTCACAACACTTATTATTTATACAAGCATCAAGATGTTTCATCCACCCGGTCTAGACTTAGCAATGGTGGATATAAAGTAAAAAATTATGAGAATGGAAGGGACATTGGGAAATATGCATCACCCAGCTATTTACATGACCATTTCTACCAAGAGTAGTGATATCCAATTAACAACTGGTGGACGAGTTGATTCTACATAAGTATTGTTGCAGGAAGACAAATAGATAGACAGACAGACAGACACAAACACAGACACACCAATTGCTATATCTCTCCGTCCAGCCGAGTCGGGCCGCGAAATTATATCGCCTTGATAAGTCGTGAAACGTCCAAGATAGTGGCGGGGTCCCTATTGTTGACATTCCCGTTCTTGCCCCTAATTTAAGTTTAAGGTTCATATGTATACTCTGTGTTGTAGGCCGATCACATCACACCCGACAAATTTTTGACTGCACATCTCCAGGACCTTACACAGGCCATGTCTTACGTGACTTAAGATAATACGGAGAAAATTAATATTCGACTGAAGAAAATATATTGACCCCAAGTTAGGTAGACATGGTAACGTTTTTTTTGTGTGTTTTTTTATACATAAGTTCATATTAGATTTTTGTAAGTCCTCAAGTTATATAAATTTTGAAGACAAATACTTAATTATTTTCAAACTCTAAGTTTGGCATAATTATATCTTTATCGCTGGCCTGAACCAGTTGTATATGGTAATTCTAGGTGACCAAGAAAAGTTATATGCGGTGGTTTTAGCTGAGCACGACCACTTGTGCCTGGTGATTCTAGGAGCGGACCATCTGTATAGTGATTCTCAGGAACCAGAACCATCTTACTGAATAAAGATGATATAGAACCAGTTGTGTATGGTGACTAGATGACCAGGACCAATTGTGTGTAATTCCAGCTGACCAGGACCAGCTATGTTGAGTGAGGCAAAGGGTCGTCAACCTGGGCTAGGAGATGCGTGAGGATTCCTCATTTCGGTCTGAAATTGTATTTGGTCGGAGGTAATTTTCGTCGCCAGTCACTGATTGAACCAGACGCTCCGGCGCCACCCAGGCCTCCACCAGACCGCCCTACACACAACACAAACACTTATAGGAACGCCCAATCACACAAAGGCTAATAATGAACTGTAAGTTAAACACACAAAGTTGGGAACTATAAATAGAAGGTGAAGGCTGGGTAGTGTCAAATGTCTGTGATAGTCAGAATATGTTTGAATTCCTTTGGTGAGTTAAAAGCTCAAGTTTACTGGTGTTGATTCAGGTCGGGAATTTTGGGATAACGAGTTTTCTGTTTCGGTAAAGGGGTAGTTCAAACGATTGTTTTTTTATATACTTAACCAGATTTGCATGTACTGTAATGTCAGCAGTGGGGTTAGTTCTCCGTATATTGTTTTAAGTGTGTTCCGGTAGCATGTAATATCAGGTAGAATTTGTATTTGCTATTTGGGAAAAAAGTTGTTTGTGTTAACGAGAGGGGGGAGCTGGCCCGTTGCAGTTGGTAGCCGGCAGCTCATAAGGAAGAGAGCGGTGGCGCTCCTTATTCACGTTACCTTTGAAGATTTGTACCAGAGATCCTGAAATTATTGGACACAGGAAAGATGTATATAACTATAAATATATGTAATCTTTTTACCGTGTATGTTTTGGTCATTATCCTCCTGCACCATACGTTAACTCCCGTGTCAGGTAGCTTGAATAGAAATAAAAGGTACCATTGATTGGGTGTGGGAAGAGAGAAAGGGTGTGGGAAGAGTTAGAGATCCCAAGTTCTAGCAGAGCACCTTAAATGAGTGGTAGTGAGTAGAGATGTGTACAGTAGTACAATTTGAGCCAGGACAGTGTTGAGATGTCCGCAGATATATTCATCAAGTGTTCTACCTGTACAACACACATGTAACTCCGTGTCACGCCTCTACTCCCATACAAGCAGTTTACAATAACATTTCGAGACAGGCGAAACTGAATCACTAAGATATCCACCTACCCACTTTATCCCTGCTATTAACACACGGTTCTCACGGTGATGATTAACCGCAAGACACAAAGTTACTATTTTCATTATGCTGTAATGCATCTTTTTACAGTTGTCGCGCTGTAATAAATTTTAGCTAAAATGTATTACAGCGCGACAACTGTCATTACACTATGACATGATATGCAACTCCCAATACACCAAAACAATTTATATATGTTACAGTACACAGTACACAAACAATGGTAACCACAATACTTGACAATCTACACCCAACCTTCGGTGTCTGCTCACACGCTCAAACACCAGAATGCCACACGTTATCCATACCTGAAACACAAAGATAAAAAAAATATTTTAATGCATGAGTCACTGCAGGAACAACTAAAATAACTATTTATATAAAATTACTTTTGTATTAAATAGAACGTACACCCTTGATATATGCGTCCATGTTAATTTTTCCGTCGAGTATGAATTTCATGCTCCCAAGACCTAAACCTTTGGTCCCCTCTATCATAGGAGCAATTGTAAAGGGGAAGGACAAGAGAGATGAGGGGGTGGATAATTAGTATATTGGTTAACCACCTGGAATGATCAGCTTCAAAATGGGGATGAGAGAGGGTCAGCGGGAACGTAGGAGGGACGAGAGACTACAGAGTAGTAGAGTACTGTGTCTGTACTGCCAGTCCGTATATCCCAAACTGTCGTACGGCACTATACTAAGACCCAGAGAAAATGGTTGGGGAAAAAAATCCTGACATGACTAAAAGTTGTTTATATTGATATAAAATTATCTTTAAGAACTGTTAGGTTCTGTTGTTAAAAAAAATTATGTTTACGACTCATCACAGACAAAGGGTCGAAGAAGTCCCTTGTTCATCAGTTTATAACACAAGTAAAATATCTTATATGAATTTGTGTGTTAAACAGGAAACTGGAGGAAAATAACTATCTAATGAGTTATGTGTTCATAATACTCGTAACCCTTAATCTGTCCATAATAAACCAAAATGTGTCCAAAATACATACTTATATCACCCACTCCCCAGTAGTCACAAGTGTGTCAGGTGTGTGGGAGGTAGCAGGTCTACTGGCATGTCAGGTGTGTGGGAGGTAGCAGGTCTACTGCCGTTTCAGGTGTGTGGGAGGTTGCAGGAGGTCCACAAGTGAGTCGGGTGTGTGGGTGGTAGCAGGAGGTCCACTGGTGTCAGGTGTGTAGGAGGTAGCAGGAGGTCCACTGGTGAGACAGGTGTGTGGGAGGTTGCAGGAGGTCCATTGGTGAGACAAGTGTGTGGAAGGTTGCAGGAGGTCCACAAGTGTCAGGTGTGTGGGAGGTAGCGGGAGATCCACAAGTGTGGCAGGTGTGTTGGAGGTAGCAGGAGGTCCACTGGTGTGTCAAGCGTATGGGAGATAAAAGGAGGTCCACTAGTGTGTCGGGTGTGTGGGATGTAGCAGGAGGTCCACTAATGTGTCGGGTGTGTGGGAGGTAGCAGAAGGTCCACTAGTGTGTCAGGTGTGTGGGAGGTAGCAGAAGGTCCTCTGGTGAGACAGGTGTGTGGGAGGTTGCAGGAGGTCCACAAGTG